TTTATTTCTGTAGAGACAAGGTTTCACTATGCTGCCCAGGCTGGTCTCAAACTCCTAGGTTCAAGCAATCCTCCCGTCTTGGCCTCCCAAAGCGCTGGAAGACAAACGTGAGCCACCGTGCTCAGCCTGTTTGCTAGTTTTATGACCTTGGGAAAATGATTTAACTTTAGCTTTCTTATCTAAAATGGAAATATTAAAAATACCTACTTTATGGGAATGTTGTATGAATTTTTTAAATGCATATAAAGTGCTTGAAACCATAGTAAACACTTCCTAGATGTTATTATTTTTGTCGTTATTAGACTATCTGAATGTGAAAGAAGAGAGCGTCCCTTTTTCTACCTCTTACTATCTCATCCACTCTAGCTCAATAGAACTCACTTCAATTCAGCTTGTACTGACTGGGCACCTCTATGGGCCAGGCATCATGCTCAAGTCTGAGCACAGTGGAGGCTTAAAGCATATTTCTGGGCTGGGTGCAGTGGCTCATCCCTGTAATCCCAGCACTTTGGGAGGCCAAGGTGGGCAGATGACCTGAGGTCAGGAGTTCAAGGCCAGCCTGACCAACATGGAGAAACCCCGTCTCTATTAAAAATACAAAATTAGCCGGGTGTGTTGGTGGGCACCCACAATCCCAGCTACTCGGGAGGCTGAAGCAGAAGAATTCCTGGAACCTGGGAGGTGGAGGTTGTGGTGAACCGAGACCGTGCCATTGTGCTACAGCCTGGGTGATAAGAGCAAAACTTCGTCTCAAAAAAAAAAAAAAAGAAAGAAAAAGCATATTTCTGGCTGTACAGAGTTCCCTACAGCAGAGACCTAAACCCCTGGGAAGATTCTATGCTGGTGGCATTTCCCAAAGGTTCTGTGGCTCATTTCTCCCCAAGTTCACTTCTGGTGCTATTAGAAATTCTAGAGATTCCAGTCTTGAGCCAGTGTGTAAACACAGGAAAATTCTCTCTGGTGGGGTTCTCATCAGAGCAACCTGGCAAGGTAAAAACAGGAAGCAGGATGAAGGCTGTGTTTATTTTTTGCTGTGGGTATTGTGTTGTGTTTCACTGGCATGCCAGTCTATTTGACCTAAACAGAAATAGCCTGTGTAGTCTTGTGTGACACTGGTATTGTTTTAAATCAACATTAGGAAGTGGGACAAAAGAAATGGCTATTAATTAGAACATAAGCCCGAAGTAGCACTCTCTATACAGTGAGGCACCTATGGAGCCGCCCAAGCTGAACAGCTGTTTTTCAGGTCATTTGTAACCAAGGTAATCTACTGTGGACAGTATTGGAAACGATAGACACTTTCTTCAGAATTCACTGTCACCATCTTTAATAACTTCTATTTTTTTTTATTTTGAGATGGAGTCCTGTTCTGTTGCCTAGGCTGGAGTACAATGGCACAATCTCAGCTCACTGCAAACTCCACCTCCTAGGTTCATGTGATTCTCCTGCCTCAGCCTCCTGAGTAGCTGGGATTACAGCTACTGGGTGTGCCACCATGCCTAGCTAATTTTGATATTTTTAGTAGAGATGAGGTTTCACCATGTTGGCCAGGCTGGTCTCAAACTCCTGACCTCGTGACCTCATCCTCCCAAAATTCTGGGATTACAGGTGTGAGCCACCATGCCCAGTCAATAACTCCTGTTTTTACTGTTCACATCTAGTACTGTACCAATGGATGAGCTGAGAACCTCTTGAAATGGAACTTGTGAAAAATGTAAGGAAATATTACTGCTAAGTAGGCAAGGCTAATGTTCTCACAATTGTGGAAAACAAAACTGAAAACAAAAGACAACACTAAAGTCCTAAAGCAGTGTTTTTACATTCATTTTCTCCCTCCATCCTCCCTTCCTGAATAAGCAGCTAACAGAGAACAGCCTGATATGCATTCCTCTTCCCTTCCAGATAGAGAATTGAGTGCTCTGGACAGCACAGTGGCTCATGCCTGCAATCCCAGCACTTTAGGAGGCCGAGGTGGGTGGATCACCTGTGGTCAGGAGTTCAAGACCAGCCTGACCAACATGGAGAAACCCTGCCCTTACTAAAAATACAAAATTAGCCGAGCATGGTAGCGCATGCCTGTAATCCCAGCTACTTGGGAGGCTGAGGCAGAAGAATTGTTTGAACCTGGAAGGTAGAGGTTGTGGTGAGCCAAGACTGCGCCATTGCACTCCAGCCTGGAAAACAAGAGCAAAACTCCATCTCAAAAAAAAAAAAAAGAGAGAGAGAGAGAATTGGATACTCTGCAGCTAGGCTCCTGTCCTGTCCATACATGGCAGGGACACAGCTGGTAAAAGAGGAAGAAGAACATGGGTAGAGGAGGCAAGAACTCGGCAGTGAGCAGGGCGGGGCCATCTCCCCCCAGGTTAGGGAGCCCCATGCCATGCACCCTTGGTGTGTGGGAGGTAAGGACCCTTCCCCACTTGATTGTTTCCAGGCAGAATCCAGCATGGTTAACAGCATAGGCTGGCAGCCAAAGGGCTTAGCTTTGAGTCCTGGCTCAGCCATTTACTTTGGGTAAGTAATTTAGCCTTTCTGTGCCTCAGCTTCGCCATCTGTAAAATGGGTATAACAACAGTACCTGCCTTCTACAGTTGTGATGAAATTAATGGAATTAGTATGTGGAAAACAGTTAAAACAAGGCCTAGGACATATAAACCACCCAATAAGCATTAGCTATTATTATTGCCTTGAAATAGCCCCAAAACGTAATTACAATGACCATCATTATATTATTTTGTTCTGACTTGGGCTGACTTAACAGTGACAACTAAAGTGAAGTCCAGGATTCTATTTTACTAGAAATCCTACCTCTAGGAATACCTTCCAAAGGATTTTTCAGATATGTAAAAACAAGGTACAAAGGGAATCACTGCAGTATTATTTATGGAGTGAAAAACTGGCCCCGGCCTAAGTGTGGAACAATCTGAGAATGATTAAATATGTTATGGTGCAGAAACAGGCTTTTGAAGAATTTTTAATGACTAGGAAATGCTCATGAAATAAATGTAAGTAGAAAAGCAGGCTTCAAAACTGTTTACAATTGGATCACATTTGGTAACTATGTAAGCACATTTGCAGAAAAAACAAAACCCCAGAGAAATGTATCAAGATGTTCATTCACAGTGGGGTTTCTGAGGGTGGAACTTGAGCACGTTTTTGTTTATATTTTCTTTATATTTTTTGATGCCTTCATGTTTGACACAGGAACACACACAATTTTTATATTTGGGAAAAACATTAAGTCACAAAACCAAAACATTTAAAGACAGAATTCAGAAGACATACAGTGGACTAAAGGGAACTAGAAGTGAACCGATGTTTCCTAAACTCTAGGTTTTTGTTTTTTTAAAGTCCAGAATGCCACATAATAGAGCTACTTTTCAACTTACTTTGCTCTGGGAAGAAAAACTATGCAAAATCTATGGGTTACAAAATTATAGACAGGCCAGGCGCCGGTGGCTCACGCCTGCAATCCCAGCACTTTGGGTGGCCGAGGCCGGTGGATCATGAGATCAGGAGATTGAGACCATCCTGGTTAATGCAGTGAAATCCTGTCTCTACTAAAAATACAAAAACATTAGCCGGGAGTGGTGGCATGTGCCTGTAGTCCCAGCTACTTGGGAGGCTGAGGCAGGAGAATCGCTTGAGTTGAAGGTTGCAGTGAGCCGAGATCGCACCACTGCACTCTGGACTGTGTGACAGAGCAAGACTCTGTC